ACCCTAAACCCTAAACCGTATCATCAACAGTAAGCCCCCCGACCCCCCAACTGCCAGGCAGAGCCAGGGCGTGGTACCGGCCTCCTCAACATGATGTTTCAGCTTCCTGTTTTTTAGGGTTTAGGGTTTAGGGTAGGGGTTTACCCTAAACCCTAAACCGAAGGTTCAAAGATCGGGGGCTGTAGGAGTTTAGGGTGGGGGTTTGCCCTGAAGCCTAAACCGAAGGTTCAGGGGTCCAGAGATTTTTTGGGCTTTGAAGCTTCGGGGTTCTGGGGTTTAGGGGCCGAAGGATGGAGTAAGTTATATTACTAATGTTCTCGGCTTATGGCTCATAGTCCTTACGAAGCTTGATGTGACGTAACACAAGTACCGATTCGAATTATTCAGGCTCCCGCATTATGCCAGACCTCTCAGCTTGTCTCGTTAGATTTAGGCTTAAGGTGTACAGGGTTTAGGCAGGGAGTGCTGCTGTCCGGGAGGTCTGACTCTGAATTCCGATTCCCTGAATGCTTCCAAAGCCTTTGAATCAAATCATGCTGCCGATAACCGTCACTAGAATTTAGGGTATATTCATGAGGTGCAGAGTTTTGGAGCTTCCGGTGGGGACCCTGCAAAAATCCGTAGAAACACGTGAAACTCTTCCAAACCTCTATATGACTCTCCCCTGACCGTCAAAGGCTGGGGCTTGTGGCTTATCCCGCCAAGCTGTTGCTGATCCCGGCTACGCCGATCCATCACTGGACCACGGCTTACTTCAGGGGGATTGACATGAGGGTTTAGGTAATACTCGCTATACACTCCTGTATACTAGTCCCCATATACTTCATATGGGTGGTTGTCAAAATTATGGTCCCTTTTTGGGTCCTTATTAGAATACGGCACCTATTATTTAGAGTACCCCAAAGGGACCATAATTTTGACAACTACCCATATTATGGTAGTCCTACACCCTAAACCATGATCCCGATAAGCACCAGGACCCCGGAGTGTTTCGCCGGGATCCACTTCAGGCGCAAGTGCCTCGGGCTTGGTTGAGGCGTTTGGGCTTTACACATCGATGTAGGTTTTAGGGTATATGCAGGGATTGTTAGGGTTTAGGGTTAATATAGGGCTTTGAGGATTTATGGTTTACATAATATAGAGACCAAATCCTTGCTGTAAGTATTACTCTGGGGTTCAACCAGTGATTCAGGGTCTTTCTTAGGGTTTCGGGACTTTGAGTGTAGGTTTGGTTGGAACCAAAGATGGGCTTTCTTTGTTTAAGGTATCTGTTCGCATAGGGACATATCGCAAACAAAGATTTGTTCGCCTCAGCCCTAAGCCCTAAAACCCTAAACCCTAAACACTCAAACCCAAAACCCAAAACCCTAAAACCCTAAACCCTAAAACCTTAAACGCTAAACCCAAGCCCACAAACCCGCATGTGTCTTGTCGGCGTTGATGCACCGGCCGAGGTGGTGGTGCATGTTCACCCAGAGCAACGATACCTTCGGCGCTACTTGGTGGATAGGGTGGTGAGCTTTCAACCCGTTGAGTTCATACAAGGGCTTACTTGCAAGGATCTAAGGACCCTAAACCCCAAACCGTAAACCCTAACTCCTTTATGCCAGTGGGTGTTCTATGAGACTCCGGGTGATGCTTTGACAGCAAGTTTATGTGTTTACGGTCTGTGGACCGGACGACTCAGCTTAGCTCTTGTTCGCGGCAATCAATTTAGGGGACAGCCACTAAACCCCTGAACCCTAAACCCTAAATCTTCAAGCCCCGAGACCAGAACCCTAAATCTTCGAGCACTAATAGGCCAAGCCCTGAACGGCAAAGCCTTAAGCAACAAAACCCTTAACCCTACATTGAGGCCTTGCGATCTCAATCAAGATGATTGCTACAAACCCCTCCCAAAATCCTAGAACCTATAGAACCCCCCCTCAAGCCCTCCTAGGAACCCTGAAAGACCCTTGCAGCTCCAAGAGCTGGAGGTGATTATCGTGGATGCTCTCTGGCGTGCCAAGCATGGGCATTTCGAGACTCAGTTCCCCAAACCCAACCTTTAAACTTTTTGGGTTTTGATAATTTAGTAGTAACCTGAAAGTTTAACCTTTTTCTCTTTTGTTCTCACCCTAAACCCTAAACCCTAAACCCTAAACCCTAAACCCCTAAACTCTAAACCACAAACAGCTACCTTTTTTGTTGCTGGCTTGTTGGGGAAGTAAGGACAAGCTGGAGAAGCTGCTGGATCCCAGCGACACTGAGACCTTCTTGCGCGCGGCAGGGAAGATGCGGCACGGATGGTGGATACTTTTTTAGGTAGTATAGGGATTTGGGTTTAGGGTTTAGGGTATAGGGTTTAGAGTTTAGGGTTTAGGGTACACGGTTTAGGGTTTAGGGTTTAGGGTTTAGGGGTACCCCTTACAGGGTACCCCTTCTGAACCCTACTTTTGGCCCTCTTAAAAGGGACCTTATTGAGAGGGTCTATATCCCCCTATAAGGTTATAACAAGGAGGCAGCACGGATGATTCTTTGGAATAGGCTTGTGCAGGGGCTCTTGGGGTCTTATAAAGGCTCTATATATGTATAAGGGTTTAGGGTTTAGGGTTTCTAGAAGGACCTATACGGTTATAACAAGTTTTCATAAGGGAACCAAAAGGTTGGAACGTTGACTTGTGCTAGGATTCGTTGCACTTTGCTCCGAGGGCATGCGGACAGTGATGTTTCTCACTCGCTAGCCGCGTGTTCGGGGGTTTACTTGGAGGTCATGGGTAGTTACAAATAGGGTTATAGCTAGGGCAGCTATACTTACTACCTATATTTACGGGACGTATACCCCACGTATACCTACCCAACTCTAGACCTCAAACCCTAAGGCTTATAGAACCTTCAAAGGAACCCTACTTACAACCCCACGTCTATCTACCCATGAACCAAGCAGGGAGTCAGCGGCTTCCGATTCTCGCCAGGAGCCCGTCCTTCTAAGCCCTAAACTTCTGACGCCGAGACCCTATAGCCCTAAACCCTGAACCCTAACACCTGAAACGGTTAAGGGTTTAGGGTTCAGGGGTTCGGGTTCAAAGTTTAGGGTTCAGGGTTCAGCGTTTAGGGTTTAGTAGGGTTCAGCGTGTAGTGTTTAGGGTTACTAAGAGCATACAGCCCGAAGATCTGAAGTCTATTTTACAAGCTAATCCCGACAAGCCAAGAGACCTATAAAGCCTATAGCACCAGAAGCATCAATCTGAGAGAAGATTTGCCTTCAACCCTAAATAAGCCCTAAGCCCTCGACCCTAAGCCCTAAACCAAAAACTCTAAACCCTAAACCCTAACACCAAACCTAAGAGTCTGGCCCAGGGTTTGGGGTTTACGGCGGAACCGCTAACGCCCTACCATTGTGGAGTCCGGGTTGATGGTGCAGCGCCTGAGAAACCCTAAACCCTTAAGCCCTAAACCTTAGACCCTAAACCCTTCAGAAACTCTAAGCAGAAGCAGCCCAGGCAAGATGAAGAGGACTCCGAAACGGATCCTCTCGTCTTGAGCATTCTCAAAGACATGAGCCCTGTCACCTGATTGCAGCCAAGTAACTTGTGGGCCAATTCTGGGCGTTATGAGATGCTTCTGGAGGTGCTTGATGGGTTTCAAATGTTTGTTTTATGGCCTTTGGGTTCTTTCAATGCGTTTATGAAGGGTGTATACGGTAAGATTCCAACAGAGTGATTGCACGGATGTGTAAGCATGAGAAACGGTTTTCGAACGGTGGTATGGGGTTGTACAAGGCGACTGCAGGATTGTCAAAGTCTTGCGAACATGGTTGGTCAAGTAACTCACTTGGCCGTTGATCAGGTCAGAGTACCGTTTGCCGGCAATTCTTGTCATGGCAACTTAAACTAGGCCTTAAATCCTAAACCCAAACCCCTAAACCCTAAATCCTGAACCCTAAACCCCTAAACCCTAAACCCTGAACCCTAAACCCCTAAACCCTAACCAACGAGAGCCCTAAACCCTAAACCCCCGACGAGAGCCCAGGTCATCGCCAAGGACACCGCTACCGAAAGTAGCGACTCTGAGGCGTAATCGATTCAATGCACCCGCTCCCGAAGTGAAGCCGTGGCGGTGTGCAGAAAAAGCTGCTGTTTAGGGTTTGGTGTTTAGGGTTTAGGGCTTGTTTTGAAATTAGTATCCGGGTTAGTGTATTTTAGACTTTTTGGGATACGGTTATCCGATTATCCCTCATGACGCTGAACATATGAACTTGTTCGGGCTTATGAACTTGTCGACTATAGGTAAGGGTTCTGCAGGGGCTGTTCTATCGCGGTCTCTAGTCTATAGGGTTTTGGCAAGAGGCTTGAGGCTTGCGGGTTTAGGGGTGAGGGTTTAGGGTTTAGGGCGTCGGGGTAAGCTTGATGCAATGGTATAGTAAACGTCTGAATAGCTACAAGAGTTATTCGGAAGTTCCTTCTATGCCTGTTTATACGGCATTGGTTCTTGAAATCCTCGTTTGGCAGCAAAGGCCTTCATACTGTGTACGCTCACCAATGCCCTAAGCCTTCACTAAACTTGAAACCCTCGAAATGAGACCCTACACCCTGAACTCCGTTTGCACAGGACCAGGTCCTGCAGAGGACAAACTGTCGCGATGAAAATTTCACGCACAAGTCTCCAGAAAAATCTTCCAAGTTGCCAAGTCTTGTCCCTGTATGGATCTTAGCATTCAGGTTTATGTTCTGGGGTTGGGGGCTCCCTCAAACATGACCATCAAGCAAGTTCCCTGGTTGGTCGGGACAGGATCTTCTGGCCGAGTAAGTGTAGTTGTCGGGGTTTTTTAATTAACCCCCACCCGTAGACCCTAAACCCAAAAACCAAACCCCTAAACCCTAAACCCTAAACCCTAAACCCTAAACCCTAAACCCTAAACCCTAAACCCTAAACCCTAAACCCTAAACCCAAACCCTTAAACCCAAACCCCTAAACCCTAAACCCTAGCCCCTAAACCCTAAACCCTAAACCCCAACTGTTAACCCCGACAAGACGCCAAAACCTGCTTCTTTCGTAGGTTCTTCTTCGGAACCCAGAGCCGGGATTTAAAAGGGGCTCTCCTACCAAAACGTAGGTTCTGGTAGGTTTAGGGTGTAGGGTTTAGGGTTTGGGGTTTAGGGTTTAGGGTTTAGGGTAAGGCAAGTCACCCAGAGAGCCCAATACCCTTTAAGGAAGCAATGTACCTGAAACTATCAGGGGCTTCAGATTATGGTTTGAGGTCTATTCCTTAGTTAAGGGGTATTGGGCTCTCTGGGGATAAGTATCATAACCGCAATTAGGATCCTTTTTAGGGTACTTATAACTCTAGCTATTGCCTACTTGCTAAGTCCCCCGACGCTGCAAGTTTAGAGCAAGACCCAAAACCCTAAAATCTAAACTCTGAGCCC